TGGGAGTTCACCACCACATGACCAGCCCTGCAAAAAATTCTCAAGGGAATGTTTCATCTGGAACTATCACAAATACACAAGAAAGAGCAAAACCCACCATTTAAGCAAAAATTCCAGCAAGAAAGAGAAAGAAGCTAAATCATCCCACCTTAAATTTCCAACTAACATCAAAGAAGAGAAATAAAAGGGGAAATAATAATCAAAAGATATTTAAACCATCTAAACAAGAAGCAATTAAATGATAGGAATTAAGCAACACTTCTCAATAACTGCCCTAAATGTGAATGGAATAAACTCCCCATTCGAAAGATACAGACTGACTGGATTAAAAAGCTAGACCCAAATATATGCTGTCTTCAAAGGACCCACCTCACCACCTGTAGAGACACACACAGACTAAAAGTGAAGGGATAGAAAAAGATATACCATGCAAACAGAAACCAAAAACAAGCAGGAGTAGCTATTAGTATATTGGACAAAACAGACTTTAAACCAAAAAACATAAAAAGAGACAAAGAAGGCCACAATATAATGACAAAAGGATCTATCCAGCTAGAAGACATAACAATCATAAATATATATGCACCCAATACTGCAGCACCCAGATATATAAAGTAAATACTCTTAGACCTAAAGAAAGAAATAGGTCCTAATACATTAATAGTGGGTGATCTGAGCACCCGTCTCTCAGTATTGAACAACTCTTCCAGGCAACAAGTCAACAAAGACACACAGGATTTAATCTACACCTTAGACCAACTGGACCTGGCAGATATATACAGAACATTTCACTCAACAACTAAAGAACATACTTCCTTCTTATCAGCTCATGGAACATTCTCTAGGATAGACCACATATTAGGTCACAAATCTACTCTCAGCAAATTTTCAAAAACTGAAATCATTCCACATATCTTTTCAGACCACAATGGACTAAAATTGGAAATTAATAATAAGCAAAACTCTGGAAAATATACAAATACATGAAAACTAAATAATAGGCTCCTGAATGACCTATGGGTCCAAGAAGAAACTAAACAAGAAATAAAAATATTTCTAGAAACTAATGAAAATAAAGATACATCATACCAAAACCAGTGGGATATCGCAAAAGCAGTACTAAGAGGCAGATTCATTGCAATAAATGCTTACATCAAAAGAACAGAAAAACCTAAACAACCTAACACTATGCCTCAAAGAACTTGAAAAACTACAACAATCCAAACCTAAAAGTAGTAGACAGAAAGAAATAATAAAGATCAGAGAAGAACTAAACGAAATAGAGACCCAAAAAACAACAGAAAAGATCAACAAAAAAATGTTGGTTTTTTGAGAAGATGAATAAAATAGACAAACCATTAGCTAGATTAACAAAAAAAAAGAAGAGAGAAGACCCAAATAAAAAAAGAGTCAGAAATGAAAACAGAGACATAATAAGTACAAAGAATCATTAGAGACTATTATAAAGAACTGTATGACAACAAATTTGAAAATCTGGAAGACATGGGTAAGTTTCTAAACACATACAAACTGCCAAGACTGAACCAAGAAGAGAGAGAAAACCTGAACAGACCAATAACTAGCAATGAGATTGGAGCAGTAACTAGCAATCTTCCAACAAAGAAAAGTCCAGGTCCAGATGGCTTTACAGCTGAGTTCTATCAAACTTTTAAAGAGGAGTTAATACCAATTCTCCTCAAACTATTCAAAGCCATTAAAACAAAAGCTACTCTCCCAAACTCATTCTATGAGGCCAACATAACTCTTATACCAAAACCAGATGAAGACACAACAAAAAAAGAAAATTACAGACCAATATCATTGATGAAACTAGATACAAAAATCCTCAAAAAAATTAGCAGTCATAATACAGCAACACATCCAAAAAATTATACACTGTGATCAAGTGGGATTCATCCCAGGGATGCAAGGAAGGTTCAACATACAAAAGTACACAAATATGATACACCACATCAACAAACTCAAGGACAAAGACCATATGATTATCTCAATAGATGCTGAAAAAGCATTTGACAAAATTCAACACCCCTTCATGATAACGACTCTCAACAAATTAGGTACAGAAGGAAAGTATCTCAACACAATAAAAGCCATTTATGACAAGCCCACCACCAGTATCATTCTGAATGTGGAAAAACTGAGGGCCTTTCCCTTAAGAACAGAAACAAGACAAGGATGTCCACTCTCACCACTTCTATTTAATACAGTACTGGAGGTACTAGCTAGAGCAAGCAGGCAAGAGAAAGAAATAAAGGGAATCCAGATTGGAAAAGACGAAGTTAAACTTTCTCTATTTGCAGATGACATGATACTACATATAGAAAAACCAAAAGACTCTTATCAAAAAACTCCTACAGTTGGTTAATAACATCACTAATGTTTCAGGATACAAAATAAATGCCCTCAAATCAGATGCATTTATATACTCAACAAACAACCAGAAAGAGAAATAAAGAAAGTAAGCCCATTTACAACTGTCAAAAAATAAAAAATAAAATAATAAAATACCTAGGAATCAATTTACCAAAGAGGTGAAGAACCAAGAACCACAAACCACTTCTGAAAGAAATTGAAGAGTACCCAAAAAGATGGAAAGATATTTCATGCTCTTGGATTGGAATAATTAACATTGTGAAAATGTCTATACTACCCAAAGCAATCTACAGATTCAATGCAATCGCCAACAAAATACCAATGACACTCATCATCGAAATCCAAAAAAAATTTCACCTTTCATATAGAACAACAAAAGATCCTGAATAGCCAAAGCAATGCTGAGCAAAATAAATAAATAAATAAATAAATAAATAAATAAAGCCAGAGGCATAATACTACTTGACTTCGAATTATACTACAAAGCTACTGTAACCAAAACAGCATGGTACTGGTATAAAAATAGACATTCAGACCAGTGGAGTTGAATTGATAACCCAGAAATCACCCCTCAGGCTTATAGCTATCTGATATTGGAAAAAGGCAACAAAAACCTACATTGTGGAAAAGACTGCCTCTACAACAAGTGGTGCTGGGAAAACTGGATATCCATATGCAGAAGAATGAAATTAGATATGCATCTCTCACCATACATTAAAATCAACTCAAGGGCCGGCCCGGTGGCGCACTGCTACAGTGCGCCGCTTAGGAGTGTGGAGGCGCTCCCGCCGAGGGTTCGGATCCCACATACAGACCGGTTCCCGCTCACTGGCTGAGCGAGGTGCGGGTACAACACCGAGCGCTGCGATCCCGTTGCCGGTCCGGTACGGGCGCGACACTGAAGGATGCGATCCGTTGCCGGACACGAAAAAAGACAAAAAGGAAAAAAAAAAAAAATCAACTCAAAATGGATTAAAGACTTAAGTGTAAGACCTGAAACTGTAAAACTACTAAGGAAAAATATAGGTGAAACACGTCAGCAACTAGGTCTGGGCACAGACTTTATGAACATGAGCCTGAAAGCAGAAGCAGCAAAAGAAAAAATAAACAAATGGGACTATATCAAACTAAAAACGTTCTGCACTGCAAAGGAAACAATCAACAGAGTAAAATGACAACCTACAGAGTGGGAGAAAATTTTTGCTAACTATGCATCCTACAAAGGATTAATATCCATAATATACAAGGAACTCAAAGAATTATACAGTAAAAAACCAAATAACTGAATTAAAAAATGGGCATATGAGCTGTAAAAACATTTTTCAAAGGAAGACATACAAATGACCAATGGGTACATGAAAAAATGCTTAACATCACTAGTCATCAGGGAAATGCAAATTAAAACTACCCTGACATACCACCTCACCCCAGTTAGACTGGCTATAATCAGAAAGATGGTGAACAACAAATGCTGGTGAGGGTGTGGACAGAAGGGAACACTCCTACATTGTTGGTGTGACTGTAAATTAATATAACCACTATGGAAAACAGTATGGAGGTTTCTCAAACAACTACAGATAGATCTTGCATACAATCCAGCAATCCCTCTTCTGGGTATATACCCAGAGGAATGGAAATCATCATGTCAAAATTCTGGACTCTCATGTTCATCACAACTCTGTTTACGATAGCCAAGACAAGGAACCAACCTATATGTCCATCGATGGATGACTGGATAAGGAAACTGTGGTATATATACACCATGGAATACTACTCTACCATAAAAAAGAATGAGGTACTCTCACTTGCAACAACATGGATGAGCCTGGAGAAACTTATGTTGAGTGAAATAAGCAAAGCACAGGGGGATACATACCACATGTACTCACTCATATGTGGGAGCTAAGAGAGAAAGAAGGAAGGAAAGAAAGACCACAGTAGTGCGCTGGAATGCAGAGGAAGAGAACATTCCTTGGGCTACAAAGTGCAGTGGGGGGGAAGAGGGAAGGCAAGGGAGGTGGGGGATAATGGGGTGGGGGACACAGGGTACAAATGCAATTTGTGGTAATGGGTATGCTGCCAGTATGAATCTGGCCCTCACATCAGGGGTATGAAGGGTGACAATCAGCTTTCTATCTCTGAATATTCATAACCAAATATATATATATATATATATATGAGGACACTGAAGGGAATTCTCTACAATATTTATGAAATTTTTGTGTAAGTCTTAAATTCAAAATAAAAGTTTTCTAAAAATTCTGGAAAAACTATAGTGATAGTGTGACAGAAAGCAGATCAGTGATTGCTAATGGCTAGAGGGTGGGGTAAAAGGACTGACTACACAGTGGAACAAGGGAATGTTTTTAGATAATAAAAATTTTCTATATCATGATTGTTTTGGTACTTACATGAAAATATTCTTTTTTCAAAACTCCTCAAATTATTCAATTAAACTGATAAATTTTGTTATAATATATCTCACAAAGTTAACAAAAAGAATGCTAAATGTAAATAAAATCTTCTTTAAAAAAGTGTTGAGTTACAATCCCAATAAAGGCAGAATGCAGAGAAGATACATCAAATAAGATTACTTATGCACTTACCAAATTAATTAACTGAGTGTGTACCACATCTTCTATCAAAAGTGATGTTTCATGAAGAGGCCTCCTAGCATCACCTAAAGAAAACCTGCAAAAAAATTTTAAATGCACAAATATTAAGGACTGTAAAACTAAGAAAGGCAAAAAGTGAAAGATATTTACTGCAAGAATCAGTTTAATAATGAGAATACCTATTGTTCTCTCAAATGACCAAATGGATGTACAATTTTCTCTAGACAAAGAAAACAAATCTGTCCTACACAAGCTGTAACTTCCAAAGAAAAATGCAGTATTATCTATGATATTTCTTGATTTGTACAGTATTTTTAAAGGGCATTTATGGTTTCAAAATGCTAAATACTAACAAACTCTTCATAACATCAGCAATTAGAAACCCATGTAACCACCTCCAAATTACCAAAACAAGAGCACAGTAACAGCCACATAGAAAGTTAAAATAGTTTGTGATGTTATCAACAAATTTTTATGTATATTTTACCACAGCAAAAAAATAAATAAATAAATAAAACTTAACATATTTAAGAGCAGAACAGATGAAGGTAAAAAGGTAATTAGTGTTTAGGACAACAAATCAGAGGAAATTACATATAACAGAGCATGGATTATAAGAGAATACTATGATCAATATTATTGAAAAATTTCAATACTGTAGTAAAATCAATAAACTTCTAGAAAAATAAATAACCAAAACCTATTCAAGAAGAAACAGAAAGCTTAACTAGTCCTATAAATTTTAAAGAAATTAAACCAGCAATTAAAGAAAAATTGCTTCACATGAATGTTCCACCAAACTTGCAAATACGCCATTCTAACTTTACACAACTTTTTCAGAAAAGAGACACTCCTAAACCCATTCTTTTCTGAAGCTAGTATAACCTTGATATCAAAACCAGAAAAGGACTGTAAAAGAAAAAAAATTACACATAAATTTTACTCCTGTACATAAGTGAAACATTAATAAACCAAACACTGCAATGTGTTAAAAAGAAAAGGATAATATATCATGACCAAGTTAAGTTCATCCTAGTGTGATGGTTAATTTTATGTGTCAATGTGACTAGGTTGCAGGGTGTCCAGACATTTCGTTAAACATTATTCTGTGTGTGTCTGCGAGGTTTTTTTGGATGAGATTAACACTTGAATTGGTAGACTGAGTAAAGCTTACACTCTCCAATGTGGATGGGCTTTATCCAGTCTGTTAAGGCATGAATAGAACAAGAACAAAAATCAGAGTAAGGGAGAATTCCCTCTTTTTCTCCGCCTGCACCTACGACCTCATGGGGAGTTCCCTATGATCAGTTGACAGAGGAAGAGAAGACTAGGGGCTGGTTTCAATATGATTCTGCATGATATACAGGCTCACCTGGCAAGCGACAACTGCAGCACCTTTCTCCATCATCCCTAAAGGACAATGGTGAAGGGAAAGCCTCCAAGGGGACAGAAATTTGAGTACTGCACCTGGTTGTTTCACTTTGCTTAGAAGGAGAAATGGCCAGACATATGAGTATATATTGATTCATGGTCTGTGGCCAGTTTTGGCTAACTGGTCAGGGACTTGGAACAAGACTTGAAAAGTGGCCACAAGAAAATTTGGGAAAGGGGTATGCTATGGGTTGTGTACCACAAAAGGTCATGTGTTAGAAACTTGATCCCCACTGTAACAGTGTTAAGAGGGTGGGAAATCTGATTAAGATCTTTGAAACATGGGGCCTTCAAGAGGTGATTGAATTGTGAGGACTATGCCCTCTTGAGAATGGATTAATTAATTAGTTAACCCAGAATAATGGGTTAATGGTTTAATGGGTAAACATGGGTGTAGACTGGTGACTTTATTTATTTATTTTTTTTATTTTTTCTTTTTTCCATGTCCGGCAACGGATCGCAACCCTCAGTGTTGCCCCCGTACTGGACCGGGGACCGGCAACGGGATTGCAAGCCTCGGTGTTGCTCCCGTGCCTCGCTCAGCCAGTGAGCGGGAGCCGGTCTGTATGTGGGATCCGAACCCTCGGATGGGAGCGCCACCGCGCTTCCCAAGTGGCGCACTATCCAGTGCGCCACCGGGCCGGCCCAGACTGGTGACTTTATAAGGAGAGCACATGAAAGTGCTCTGGCCATTCTTACCACATATACTCTGGTCACCACAGGACATAGAGTTCCCACCAAGAAGAATGCCCTCACCATATGTGCTCCCTAGACCTTGGATTTCCCAGCCTCCAAAACTATAAGAAAGAAATCGCTTTTCTTTATAAACTACCCAGTTTCAGGTATTCTGTGATAAGCAACAGAAAACAGACTAATACAGGGTATATAGATAGACCTCTTTGAATGCGCAAAATAATGTAATTTGTTCCCAAGTGAATGCTCACCAAAGAGTGACCTCAGCAGATGAGGATTTTTAATAAGTAGATAGTAAGACCCATTCTGTGGATACCAGTTCCTCTTTCCTCAGCCACCCCTGTCATTACCCAGTGGGCTCATGAACAAAGTTGCCATGATGGCAGAAATGGAGGTTATACATGAGCTCAGTAACGTGGACGTCCATTCACCAAGGCTGACCTGGCTACTGCCACAACTGAGTGCCCAATCTGCCAGCAGCAGAGACTAACATGGAGTCCCTGATATGGTATCATTCCCTGGAATGATTAGCCAGTTACCTAGTAGTGGGATGATTACAATGGATTGCTTCCATTATGGAAAGGGTAGTGTTTTGTTCTTACTGAAATAGACACCTACTCTGGATACAGATTTGCCTTCCCTGCACACAATACTTCTGCTGAAACTACTACCCATGGACTTACAGAATGCCTTATTTCCATTTCCATTGTATTCCACATAGCACTGCTTCCGATCAGAGAACTCACTTCACAGCAAAAAAAGTACAGCAATGGGCTCATGCTCATGGAATTCACTGTACATAATGTTTCCCATCATCCTGAAAAAACTGGTTTGAGAGAATGGTGAATGGCCTTTTGAAGACTCAGTTATACCACCAACTAGATGGTAATGTCTGGCAGGGCTGGGGCAAGGTTCTATTATATACGGTACTATTTCTCCCATAGCAAGGATTTACGGGTCTAGGAATCAAGGGGTGGAAATAGGAGTGGCACAACTCACCATAACCCCTAGTGACCCACCAGCAAAATTTTTGCTTCCTGATCTCATAACCTTATGCTCTGTTAGTCTAGAAATCTTAGTTCCAAAAGGAGGAATGCTTCCACCAGGAGACACAATGACGAACTGGAAGTTAAGACTGCTACCCAAACACTTTGAACTCCTCATGCCTCTGAATCAAAAGGCAAAGGGATTTAGTGTGCTGCTTGGGATAGTTGATCCTGACTATCAATAGGAAACTGGACTGCTACTCCACAATGCAAGTAAGGAAGAGTATGTCTGGAACACAGGAGATCCCTGAGGATGTGTCCTAGTACTGGTATTACCATGCCCTGTGATTAAGGTCAATGGAAAACTACAGCAATTCAATCTAGGCAGAACTACTAACAGCTCGGACCCTTCAGAAATAAAGGTTTAGGTCAAATAACCAGATAAAGAACCATAACTAGCTGAGGTGCTTGATGAAGGCAAAGGAAATACAAAATGGATAGTAGAGGAAGTAGTCAGCTATAAATACCAGCTATGAGCACATGACTATCTACATAAGTGAGAACTACAATTGTCATGAGTATGTCTCTCCTTGTTTTGTTACGAATATTTGTGTATGTGTGTAGAGGAAATTTCTTTGTTTTCTTCCCTCTGTTATTCCCTTATCATGTAATGTAAGATATATTAACTTCATATCACAGTATGTAAGTATTATTAATTTTACATCATAGTATTTAAGTTACGGGATATCAAGGAGAAGAGTAAACATCACTCAAAGACTTTACTTCCTCTTCTGAAAAAGGGTTTAGTGCCTTTTTGGTTGCATGCAGGATAGTTGTATCATGTTAGTGGAATTATGACCTTGTAATTTTCTTTATTTGGAGATTAAATATGGTTTAAGGAGAGCATATGGGCACCAAGTTGACAAGCTGTGATGGTTAATTTTATGTGTCAACTTGACTGGGCCATGGGGTATCCAAATATTCTGGGTGTGTCTGTGAGGGTGTTGCTGGATGAGATTAACATTTGAATCAGTAGACTTGTTTACAAGTGTGGGTGGGCCTCATCCCATCCACTGAAGGCCTGAGTAGAACAAAAGGCAGAGTAAGGGAGAATTCACTCTCTCTGCCTAATTGTCTTTGAGATGAGACCTAGGTCTTCTGCTACCTCCGGACTAGACTTAGACTCAGACTGGAATTTACATTATCAGCTCTCCTGTTTTTCAGGCCTTTGGACTGGGACCAGAACTATACATAGGCTCTCTTGGGTTGCTTGCTGACTGCAAATCTCGGGACTTCTGAGCTTCCATAATCGCATGAGATAATACCTTATAATAAATCTTGTGTCTGTGTGTATTTCCTTAATACATATACTGTTTGTTGTGTTTCTCTGGAAAATCTGACTACCATAGCCAGAAAAGCTAAAGCTCAACATTAAATAAATCTATTAATATAATTACACTACTTTCAAAAATGAAATAAAAATCATATAATCATCTCAACAGATGCAAGAAAACCACTCAACAAAATTCAGCAACTACTAATAACAAAACTTTTAGCAAGTTAGAACTAAAAGAAACTTTCTTTAATCTGATAATGGGAATCTACCAAAACCCTACAGGAAACAACATTCTCAGAAACATTTATATCCTTTGAAATACCAATGCAAGGATGCCTATTATCACAACTTTTAGTCAGTGTAATTACTTAATATTATAGTCAGAATAAGACAAAAAAGATTTAAACTCTGTAAGCTCTGAAAAAGAAAAAACTAAACTGCCCATATCCACAGATAATCTGAGTATCTATAGAAGAAACCAAAAATAATCAAAAAACAAATAATTTGAATTAATAAAAGAAGTTAGCAAGTTTTCTAGCTATAAGATGAATCTACAAAAATCATCAACACAAAGGTAGAAAATGAAATTTACAAAGAACATAAATTTGTTCTAAACTTTATGTGAGAGAG